CCCCATCACTTGCCTCGGCAGCTCGGCCCTCAGGAGGAGGTCATCAGGAGTCACAGCCCCCCTGTGATGTCCTGTTAAACTGGGTCACAAACCACTGCGCCAGAAGGAACCCAGCTGCACCGGTGAGATTGCTTCGGAGCCAACAGGTTGCCGATTCAGGTCGCCATTCAACAGGAAATTCTATTGCGTGAATCCTCTTGAAAGAAGTAGGACTGACTTTCCTGCTGGGCCGCACCCACAAGCGATAATTGCCAAGGCTGTCTTTGGAAGGGCATTCCTGAGAAAGTCATGCTTTGGCAGACAATAATGTTTCTAGAGAACTTCACATGTGCCTTGAAAGGGAGAATCCGTCCCTGCTTAAACAGGTGCTGCAGGCTTTTGTGATGCTGCACAAACCTGCACAGCCTGTTTAACCATCAGTGTGAGTAATTTGAAACAAGGAGATCTGTGAGCACTAGGAAGCTTCTAAACCTCTCTCGCAACCCTCTGATTATGGGCTGTCGGTCTCCCACTCGAAATGATGGGAGCCACCGGAATACAAGTGCCTTTTATTCAAAGTGCACTCTACATATTCTACATTCTGAGCTGTCAAAAAGAGGAAGGCAATGACAAGAGCGGGTTTCTCTAGAAAAATAAGTGCATGGGGGAGATGGCAGGATTTTTCTTATGATTCTTGAATTTAGATAGTCAATGCGATGGTTGCGGTGTAGCCCTTCCAGTGTCAGATGAGTCACTGAGCTTTCCTTTCTGGTGTGAATGGCCCTTTACGGACCTCAAGACCAGGGTCAGCTGCTGGAAACTGTGACTTTGCAATATAAAGCATAAGACAAGCGGCTGCTGGCTGGCTGGCTGGCTGGCTTTGTAGCCGTTGGAAGGAATGAAATTAACCAGAATTTACAGCAGGCAAGAAGCCGACGGAAAAAAAGTTGATTCATTTGAAATGTAGTGCTGGTGGATAGCTTTGCAGATATCCGGGACTGTCAGAAAAAAGGAACTAGCGGGTCCTCAATTGAATCCAGTTTGGACTCTCTCAGGAGGCCAAAATGTTTGAAACTCAGGCTGTTGTGTAATCACAATTCAAGGTGATGCCATGAGCTGAAAGAACTGCTCCGAAGTGGCCGATTCTGGGAATTGTGGTCTAAAAATGGTCAGAGGTTGAGTGCCCCATGAATGCCTGCGAATTACAGGTTCCCGGGCCTCCCAGATCAATTTGTGAGCAAAAAGCTTCCCTGGGATGACACTTCCCATGCATCCCATTGGCAATGGACATTCCTAAGCATGCCAAGCCCCATCTTCGAAATGGGGTCTCCAAAGGGTGGAGCCCACCGTCAACCATCATCACCCAACAAATCTCATTGCTGCGGGTTCTCCATCATCTCCAATTTGTTTCAGAGACCAATTTCTTTAAGGACGTTGGAAGAGGAATTAGAAGAGCTGATGAAAAGGTTTCCAGAACTTTTTTAGAAAAGAGAAATAAACTATTTTCCAAGGGAGTAAGTAATGTATTTCTTTTTTTCAAATTTGGCAGGAAATGAGCTAATTGTGAGCCTAAGAGAGCTCGTCCATCAATATTTTTACAGCCTTGGTTTTCCTCAATGATGCCTTTCCGAGAAACCAGCAGAAATGGGAAATGTTTGTTTCTTGGATGACTCCAAGTCCCAGAATCCACAACCAGCATGGCCAGCAGTGGAACTGCAGGGAGTAACCTTCCAGAAAAGAAGACAATACACACCCACCTCTGGAATCCTGTCATTTTAATTTTTTTTCCTTGACCTCCCTGACATACAAAATCTAAGTCTCAGCCACCCCAGGAAGAGGTTTAGAAGCGCAACTGAAGCCATGAAATGACAGGTGCTAACAGCCAGAGGGAGGAACCGTGAAGAAACGAGGCCCCCTCATTTTGGAAAATGTGAAGTTTCTGGGCATCCAGGAGGAAGGCTTTCCCATCTTCCAGGGCGTCGTGTGCCGGCTGGGTCAAGTCGGCATTGCTGGAAGTCACCACGTCGAAGACACAGGACTGGAAGTAGGCGTCCTCCACCGGCAGCTTCTTCCTGCACAGCAGACGGGCCTTCTCTCTGGTGATGTTGCCGAGGCGAGGCCAGCCGTGGCTTCGAGGGATGCGTTGAGCCGCCGGGCACCCGAAGACGCACAGCTGCAGGTCTTGTTCCTCCGTGAAGGAGGAGGCCACCTCCTCGGCCATCCGGATGGAGAACGACAGGCGTCCGGCTGCTTGGCGCACGGAAATGATGGTGCCGATGTATGCCGCTCGTATCTCCACATGTTGTCCCGGTGTGTGCTCATGGAAGGTCAAGCTGCTCCCTCCGGGTCTCTCGCCACCGTTCACTGAACCATCTATGAAAGCGGCGGGCAGGTTATCGGTTTCAGCCTGGTAGACCTTCTCATCAATGCACTCTTCCATGTTCTTGAAGATGATGGTCAACTGGAAAGAAACAGTACATTGACAGCTCAAACTCAACAAGGCGACGGCTTTAGAAGCATGGTCAGGGGCTGAATGGCACCCCGTCTTCCAAAGCAGGAATCCCTAAGATCAGAGCTAGGGTTGCAACTGTTCACTAGTTCTGAATGTCTCCTTAAATTCCTTTTTTTAAAAAAAAGCTACAGAGCAGAAGTTCAAAGATTGACAGAGTAGAATAGCTTCAATTTCTCCAGATAGTCCACTCCTTTCTCATTAACCCCAGTCTTAATAACGCACTCTGAGACAGTGGGAGGAGAAAGAATATTTTTTACATGCCTTTACTTACAGTTGTGATCAGATCAACAGCAAACTAACCAACAAAAACTGACTTTCAACACATTGAAAATAAGGGAAACAGAATACTCAGCGGAGAAGGTGGGGCTCTCTTTCAATTCAGAGGCAGGAGGAAATGATCGGTGCTGGATAGACGGACAGTCACCTCAGCACAAAAAAGTCATTTTGCTGGCTGCCACTCACATGCCTAGAAATCCTCTGGTCAAGGAGTTCATCACATGACGGGCTGCATGACCAAGAGACAGCAAGTTGCAAAAGCCACCTGCCTTAAACACATGGATGTCTGCAATAAGAATTTGGCCAAAGAGCCTGGGGCTGCTCCTGGACCCCCGTCTAACTCTGGAAGCCCAGGTGGACCTGGTGGCCAGGGGCGCCTTCCTTCAGCTGCAGAAACTGTACCACCTGCGTCCCTACCTGGACGAGTGGAGTCTCATGACAGTTACACACGCACTGGTAACATCCTGCATAGATTACTGCAATGCGCTCTACGTGGGGCTGCCTTTGAAGATGGTCCGGCGACTGCAACTGGTCCAGAATCGAGCTGCGCGGCTGGTGAGTGGTGGGGCCGCTAGGGCACACAACACGCCGATTCTGTTTAAATTACATTGGCTACCAGTTGCCGCCCAGGCCCAATTCAAAGTGCTTGTTTTGACCTATAAAGCCCTAAACAGCTTGTGCTCCGGATACCTGAAGGACCGCCTCCTTCCATAGGAACCTACGGCAGTTAAGATCTAGCCAGGGGGCCCTTTTGAAAGAGCCCTCCCTCAAGGAGGTAAGAGGGATGTAGACAAAAGGCAGCTGACCCCAGACTATGGAACGCCCTCCCAGGGGATATTCATCTGGCGCCGACGCTGATGACGTTTCAGCGCCAGGTCAAAACCTCCCTGTTCCAGAAGGTTTTTAATTGAAATAATATCAACTCTGGGTCCTGGTGGCCATTTTTAGAACATTGTATTTTCAACTGTATTTTGTTTTATCTTTTTATTGTATTTAAATTGTTGTAAGCCGCCCAGAGACCTTTGGGTAGTGTAAGCAGCATAGACAGATAGACAGACAGACAGATAGATATTAGAATGTTCTCTCCAACATCTCCCTTCTTAATCCACCAATTTATGGAACCAAATATGACTGACTCTGACTTGCAGCAACAGCACACGAGGGTTTCATGCAGAGTTTCATGGAATCCTAGAAATCATGGCGTTGAAAGGAACCTCTAAGGCCATGGAGTCCAGCCCCTCCATGCTCAAGGCAGGAATTCCAAATCAAAGCAGATCTGACCGAGGGTTGTCTGATTTTCTCTTCAAGGCCTCCAGCTTTAGAGAGGTCTAGGGTCCCATTCCAATACAGTGGTGCCTCTCATAACGAGCGCACCGTTTAACGATGAATTCGCATAGCGATTTTTTTAAAGATTGCTAATGCGATTGCATTGCGATGGTTAGATAGGGCGAAAATCGCATTGCGATGATTGGTAAGTGATGATCATCGCTTAATCCGGAATGGATTAACGTCGCTATGCAGGGCACCACTGTACTGCTCTAACAGTTAAGAATTTCCTGATATTCAACCTACATCTGCCTTCCTGTCGCTTGAACCCATTACTACATGTCCTACACTCTGGGGATGATCGAGAATCGATTGTGCCCTTTCTGTATTCCAAGTATCCTGCCTCCCCTCTGTCTTCTTTTCTCAAAGCTAGACCTGCCCAGTTCTTCCAGTCTTTCCTCACAGGGTTTGGCTTCCAGCCCCCAGATCCTCCTCGTGGCCTTCCTCTGAACTTGTTCCAATTTGTCCTTCTTGAAGAGCCCAGAACTGGACATGGCACTCTAGATGAGGACTCACCAGCACTGAAAAGAGGGGGATTCATACTTCCAAGACCTATCAAGCCATCTCTGATATTCCCTACTTCCTCACAGGGTTTGGCTTCCAGCCCCCAGATCCTCCTCGTGGCCTTCCTCTGAACTTGTTCCAATTTGTCCTTCTTGAAGAGCCCAGAACTGGACATGGCACTCTAGATGAGGCCTCACCAGCACTGAAAAGAGGGGGATTCATACTTCCAAGACCTATCAAGCCATCTGTGATATTCCCTACTTGGAGCTCCCGGGTGGTCCCTCATGCAAGCATTAACCCCAATCAACCTGCTCTCACCAGAAGTGACTGGGAGTGCCGAGCATAATGCGAACATCTGTGTTTACCTTTCTGGTGGCTGTAGCCTTCCACGCTTTCCCTACAGGAGAATTGGTGGCCTGCACAAACAGGTTCTCGTTGTCCAGGAGCGGCCAAGAGCCCTCCAACTGGCAGGTGTGGAACTCGTCCGCAAACGTCCGGACGTGCAGGTTCCCAAAAGTCGTGCAGTGCCGGAAGGCTGGGGATTGGCCGTGCTTGCGGGCGAAGCTCTTCTCGTAATCGCAGATGTCTAAGGTGGCAAAGCCCTCTGGGGTGGGCGCCAGCACTGGAGGCTGCGGCGGGGAGGTGGAACCTTCCTTGGTGCAGTTGTTCTGAATCATGAGGTCTTCGATGCCGTAGACGGCGGAGTGGTAGGCGAGGTTCCCCCGGCAGGTGCGGGCCGTCCTGCGCGTGCAGCTG